GGTTGCAGGCAGTCCCCAGGTTTACGGATTTTTTTTGTATGTCGGAAACGGAACCATTTTCCATCGGAAATCAAAGGAAAATTCCATTTACCTTCATCCTGGCGAAGATCAAGTGAGGCGTAAGACGGCTTTGCCCACCTTATGCCTCCTCGCTCCGCGGTATTCATCCGCAACCTCACCGCGCAGCACTGCTTGTGCTCACTTAACTAAACGCGAAACATTTCCGCTCATTGACACCGAACATTTTCTTTTGACACGATTCATGGCGCAGCATTTCCGTGAGGTCGGATTTCCGTAAGTCGGGGGGGGGGGGGCTTCCGTAACCCGGGGACTGTCTGCACTTGTGTTGAAGGTGGAGGGGTTACCAGCCCCTCGCACCCATCCAGAGCCCCCATTGGCCGCTATGGCGGCTACGCGCGACATGAGGGTAAAAGCATAATGGAATTGGCCGTTCCCCCGCCCCCCCCACCCACCATGGCATCGCTCGCATCCACTACAGCGTCACCGTCCGGTGGTGCCGGACGGTGACGCTGTAGTGATGGGGCAGTTGTGGAGAGAGTGGAGAGTTTCCCATACCTGGGCAGTGTGCTCACTTAGTGGAGAACGGCGGCTGTATTGGTGTTATGGATGGCGAGCGGTAGTGTAGCGGTTAGCGCTATGCAGCGCTACGCTCACGGCCAACACCAGTGACGATTGTCTGAACTGGTGAATGGGGCCTCCAAACCTAGGTCGACTCAGCCTCAAATGAGTACCTGGTGCAGTGTGTAAATATTGTCACCGGGGAGACAGAGGGCGTTGGTTGCTGGCCACCCTTCACAGGTGCTGCTCGCTAACAGCACTTGCCCCAACAGTCTGCTGAGGCTATACGGGTCTTTGTGTTGTGTGTTATGGCCTTAAAGTGAACTTGGCCTGGCACAAGCGCCGGGGTGACGTCACCGCCACTTGGCGGCGAATGAGACCCACAGCGTAAACACGGAGCGGCAGGCGGCCTTCGCGGCCGATGGCATCCGCGAGAGGTTCCTTTTGGGTTCGATCGCGTAAAATAAAAACGCGCGCGTGTGTCGTTGAGCCCGCCACCACCCGACACAGCCAATCGGCAAGGTTGCATCACGCCAACAAAAAAAAAGGGTGCCAATTTCGTTCCGAGTCCGGCACAGCGGTGGCGTGTCGGAGGGTAAGGCTGCAGCAGCATTTACAATCCGAGCACCGTGCCGTTTCGCCGGTGAATCACACACAGACTCACCGACTCGCGCGCACACACACAGAGAGAACCCCCAAAGAGAGAGGGGGGGGTGCACGCTTGCGAGTGACGTCACGATCTCCACTTTATTTTTCGCGTTCGCTCGCGCAGACGAACGGCGACGATGGGGGGGGGGGGCGGGGGGTGGAGGGCCGTGAGTGCCATCCAGGAGCCGCGCAAATCCGCGAGTCGAATCGTTACAAGGCTCACGGGCACGCAGACGAGAGACGCACGCAGATGAGACCCCCCACCCCCACCCACCCCCCACCCACCCCCGTACACTGCCATCGTGTCGGGCTTGCATTGAGGCACGCACAGAACCCGCACGAGACCCGGCAACAAAGCACGACGGAAGGCTTGCACCCAGACGCGCGCACACACACACATTTACACACACACACACATATACACACACACATATACACATTTACAGACGCGCGCACACACACATACATATTTACAGACGTACACACACACACATATACACACACACATATACACATTTACAGACGCGCGCACACACACACACATACATACATATTTACAGACGTACACACACACACATATACACACACACATATACACATTTACAGACACGCGCACACACACACACATACATATTTACAGACGCACACACACATATACACACACACATATACACATTTACAGACGCGCGCACACACACACACATACATATTTACAGACGCACACACACACATATATACACACACACATATATACACATTTACAGACGCACACACACACAGATACACATTTACAGACGCGCGCACACACACACACACATACATATTTACAGACGCACACACACACATATATACACACACACATATATACACATTTACAGACGCACACACACACAGATACACATTTACAGACGCGCGCACACACACACACACATACATATTTACAGACGCACACACACACACACATATACACATTTACAGACGCGCACACACACACACACATACATATTTACAGACGCACACACACACACACATATACACACACACATATACACATTTACAGACGCACACACACACATAAGTATTTACAGACGCACATACACACACATATATACACATTTACAGACGCACACACACACACAGATACACATTTACAGACGCACACACACACACATATACACACACACATATACACATTTACAGACACACACACACATAAGTATTTACAGACGCGCGCACACACACACACGCGTTTACAGACGCGCGCGTGTGCACGCGCACACACACACACATACACAATCATTCGCGTTGACAAATCCCCGTCGGCTCGCATTGGACTTACAACGCGGACTCGCACGGGGCGGCGAGGTCGGGGGGTGGCCGTGGGACTGACGTGCGAGCGACGGACTTCTTGGAATCCGTCCGTCCAGTCTCCTCTCACCGTTCCCACCCCCCCCCCCCCTGCCTCCCCACGATGCATCAGCAGCAGCAGCAGCAGCATCCCTCAGGCGCGTCATTTACTCACGCTTTATAAATATCAATCGTCGCTATTGTACAGGGGTCGTTACGCATTTCGAAGTGCACATAACGCATTGGGGCAATGTCGCCCGTGGCGGGCGCGCTCGGTTATCGTTTGATCGGTTGGGCCCAGTCCGGGGGGCCCTGGGGGGGGGGGGGCCCTGGGGGGGGGGGGGGGGGGGGGGGGGGGGGGGGGGGGCCTCCGGCAAAGCTGCCTCTACCGGCGGCTTTCGTTCCTCGCCGCCGCGTGGCTACTGCCGCTGGCGGCTGCTGGCTTCACACTCCGCGTCTGCGGCTCCTCCTCCTCGCATCTCCAAGTCTCCTCTCTCTCTCTCAGAGTCCTCTCTCTCTGTCTCTCTCTCTCTCAGAGTCCCCTCTCTCTGTCTCTCTCTCTCTCAGAGTCCCTCTCTCTGTCTCTCTCTCTCTCAGAGTCCTCTCTCTCTCTGTCTCTCTCTCTCAGAGTCCTCTCTCTCTGTCTCTCTCTCTCAGAGTCCCCTCTCTCTGTCTCTCTCTCTCTCTCAGAGTCCCCTCTCTCTGTCTCTCTCTCTCAGAGTCCTCTCTCTGTCTCTCTCTCTCTCAGAGTCCTCTCTCTGTCTCTCTCTCTCTCAGAGTCCTCTCTGTCTCTCTCTCTCTCAGAGTCCTCTCTCTGTCTCTCTCTCTCAGAGTCCTCTCTGTCTCTCTACTCTCTGAGCCCACACTCTTCTCTCTTCTCTCTGAGCCCACACTCTTCTCTCTACTCTCTGAGCCCACACTCTTCTCTCTACTCTCTGAGCCCACACTCTTCTCTCTTCTCTCTGAGCCCACACTCTTCTCTCTTCTCTCTGAGCCCACACTCTTCTCTCTTCTCTCTGAGCCCACACTCTTCTCTCTTCTCTCTGAGCCCACACTCTTCTCTCTTCTCTCCGAGCCCACACTCTTCTCTCCGTCTCTCTTCTCTCTGAGCCCACACTCTTCTCTCTGTCTCTCTTCTCTCTGAGCCCACACTCTTCTCTCTGAGCCCACACTCTTCTCTCTGAGCCCACACTCTTCTCTCTGAGCCCACACTCTTCTCTCTGAGCCCACACTCTTCTCTCCATCTCTCTTCTCTCTGAGCCCACACTCTTCTCTCTGAGCCCACACTCTTCTCTCTGAGCCCACACTCTTCTCTCTGAGCCCACACTCTTCTCTCCATCTCTCTTCTCTCTGAGCCCACACTCTTCTCTCTGTCTCTCTTCTCTCTGAGCCCACACTCTTCTCTCTGAGCCCACACTCTTCTCTCTGAGCCACACTCTTCTCTCCGTCTCTCTTCTCTCTGAGCCCACACTCTTCTCTCTGTCTCTCTTCTCTCTGAGCCCACACTCTTCTCTCTGAGCCCACACTCTTCTCTCTGAGCCCACACTCTTCTCTCCATCTCTCTTCTCTCTGAGCCCACACTCTTCTCTCTGTCTCTCTTCTCTCTGAGCCCACACTCTTCTCTCTGAGCCCACACTTCTCTCTTCTCTCTGAGCCCACACTCTTCTCTCTGTCTCTCTTCTCTCTGAGCCCACACTCTTCTCTCTGTCTCTCTTCTCTCTGAGCCCACACTCCTGCTCTCAGTCCTCTTCCTCTCTGAGCCCACACCTATATCTGTCTTCTCTGACCCACCTCTTCCTCTCTCTGAGCCCACACTCTTCTCTCGTGTCTCTTCGCTGAGCCCACACTCTTCTCTCTTCTCTCTGAGCGAGCCCACTCTCTTCTCCTTCTCCTCTGGAGCCCACAAAATATTCTCCTCTCTCTGAGCCCACCACTCTTTTTTCTCTCTAGCCCACACTCTCTCTCTGAGCCCACACTCTTCTCTCTTCTCTCTGAGTCCCACACTCTTCTCTTCTGTCTTCTCTTCTTCTCTGAGCCCACACTCTTCTCTCTTATCTCGGAGCCGCACACTCCTTCTCTTCTGCGTCTCTGAGGCCCACACTCTTCTCTCTGTCCTCTCTTCTCTCTGAGCCCACACTCTTCTCTCTTCTCTCTGAGCCCACCACACTATGCTCTCCGGGGTGGACCGCGAGGGCGGCAGCGGCGCACCAATCCGTTCGTCGCGGCTACCGCTCGCAGACGTTTTTTCCGTTCGGGACGAGCAGGCAAAAAAAAAAGACGGTGACCCCCCCCCGCCTCCCGTTGAGGTTCACCGTCGTCGTCGTCGTCGTCGTCGTCGTTCCAATGGGGTCACCGGGTTTGCGGCGACGACGACGACGACGAGGAGGAGGATGAGGAGGAGGGAGCAACCGGCTCGCGGCCGCTTGTCAGTGGCAGCCGCAGCTGACGGCCACCATGTCGTCGTACTGCTTGAGCACAACGTTGCCCGCCTCGTCGTAGTAGAGGAGGTTGATGGAGTAGAGCTCGTCGGGGACGCAGCACGGCGCCCGCACCGCCGACCCTCGGCCCCCCGCCGCCGCCGCCGAGGAGGAGGAGGAGGAGGAGGGCGGCCGCAGGGCCCGCACGACGCTCTGCACCGTCGCGTGGTTGGTGGGCCGCAACGCGTGGCCCAGCGGGAAGGGGCAGGCGCCGGCGCAGGAGTAGGCGTTGTAGCCGCGCGGGGAGATGACCCAGCCGGACCAGCCCACCTCCTGGAAGTCGACGTACATCGGGTGGCGGCGGCAAGGCCCCGAGCCCTCCGACGCCGACGCCGAAGCCGACGGCGGCTTCGGCGCCTGCGGTCTGGCGGGGGAGTCGGCCGGCGACGAGGAGGACGAGGTTGAGGAGGTGGACGGCTTGGGGAGGTTGCGGCGGGATCGCGAGAGGCGGCGGAGGGCGGCGGCGGCGGCGGCGGCGGCGTCGGCGGAGTCGCTCGGCAGCTCGTAGTCTGAGGCGGTGAACAACAACGGCGTCCAACGTCACCGCCTCCTCGACACCACCACCACCACCTCCTCCTCTACACCACCTCTACACCACCACCACCTCCTCTACACCACCTCTACACCACCACCACCTCCTCTACACCACCTCTACACCACCACCACCTCCTCTACACCACCACCACCTCCTCTACACCACCTCTACACCACCACCACCTCCTCTACACCACCTCCTCTACACCACCACCTCCTCCAACGATCACCTCCTCCACCACCACCCACACCTCTAACACCTCTTCCTCCCCCTCCAACCATCACCACTACCTCCTACTCTAACCACCTCCTTCAACCATCACCTCCTCCACCCCCTCCTCCTATAACCACCACCTCCTCCTCCAACCACCACCACCGCCTCCTCCTCTAACCACCTTCTCCTCCTCCAACCACCTCCACCCCCTCCTCTTTTAACCACCTCCTCCTCCTCCTCCAACCACCTCCACCCCCTCCTATTTTAACCACCTCCTCCTCCTCCTCCTCCAACCACCACCACCCCCTCCTCCTCCACCTCCTCCTCCTCCAATCACCTCCACCCCCTCCTCCTCTAACCACCTCCTCCAACCACCACCACCCCCTCCTCCTCCACCTCCTCCAACCACCTCCACCCCCTCCTCTTTTAACCACCTCCTCCTCCTCCAACCACCTCCACCCCCTCCTCTTTTAACCACCTCCTCCTCCTCCAACCACCACCCCCTCCTCCTCCACCTCCTCCTCCTCCAACCACCTCCACCCCCTCCTCCTCTAACCGCCTCCTCCTCCTCCTCTAACCTCCTCCTCCTCTAACCTCCTCCTCCTCTAACCTCCTCCTCCAATCACCACCTCCTCCTCTAACCCCCTCCTCCTCTAACCCCCTCCTCCTCTAACCTCCTCCTCCAATCACCACCACCACCTCCTCCTCCTCCTCCACCACCACCTACACCACCCCCTCCTCCACCTCCTCCAACCACCACCACCTCCTCCTCCTCCTCTAACCCCCTCCTCCTCTAACCCCCTCCTCCTCTAACCTCCTCCTCCAATCACCACCTCCTACTCCTCTAACCACCTCCCCCACATCCTCCAATCACCTCCTCCACCTCCTCCAATCACCTCCTCCACCTCCCGCTCACCGTGGCCAGGGTTGCGGCCGAACGCCGACCTGCGGCCGTCGTCCGAGAACACGACGAGCATCGGCTCCCTGCCGACCTGGCGGTCCCTGCCGCTCACGAACTTGAGGGTGTCCCCTCGGTCGGCCGACGCGGGCCGGCCCGCCGGCCCGTCCCCCCGCTCGGCGTGGCCGTGGGACAGGTTGTCCACGGTGACCAGCAGGCCGTGATTGGAGCTGCGGTCCGACACCCAGGACTGGACCTGCCGGGGGAGAAGGGGGCGGGGGTCGGGGGTCACGACGGTGGTGAGGCTGTGAGCTGAGCCGCCACAGGGAGAGTCGCCGCCGTCAGGTTTGAGCTGCCTTAAGGCCTGTGGGTGGGCCTGTGGGTGGGCCTGTGGGTGTGCCTGTGAGTGGGCCTGTAGGTGGGCCTGTGAGTAGGCCTGTGAGTAGGCCTGTGGGTGGGCTTGTGGGTGGGCCTGTGAGTGGGCCTGTGGGTGGGCCTGTGAGTGGGCCTGTGAGTGGGCCTGTGGGTGGGCCTGTGGGTGGGCCTGTGAGTGGGCCTGTGGGTGGGCCTGTGGGTGGGCCTGTTGGTGGGCCTGTGAGTGTGTCTGTGGGTGGGCCTGTGGGGGGGCCTGTGGGTGGGCCTGTGGGTGGGCCTGTGGGTGGGCCTGTGAGTGTGTCTGTGGGTGGGCCTGTGAGTGGGCCTGTGGGTGGGCCTGTGAGTGGGTCTGTGGGTGGGCCTGTGAGTGGGCCTGTGAGTGGGCCTGTGAGTGGGTCTGTGGGTGGGCCTGTGAGTAGGCCTGTGGGTGGGCCTGTGGGTGGGCCTGTGGGTGGGCCTGTGGGTGGGCCTGTGGGTGGGCCTGTGAGTGGGCCTGTGAGTGGGCCTGTGGGTAGGCCTGTGGGTGGGCCTGTGAGTGGGCCTGTGAGTGGGCCTGTGAGTGGGCCTGTGAGTGGGCCTGTGGGTGGGCCTGTTGGTGGGCCTGTGGGTGAGCCTGTGGGTGGGCCTGTGGGTGGGCCTGTGGGTGGGCCTGTGGGTGTGCCTGTGAGTGGGCCTGTAGGTGGGCCTGTGAGTAGGCCTGTGAGTAGGCCTGTGGGTGGGCTTGTGGGTGGGCCTGTGAGTGGGCCTGTGGGTGGGCCTGTGAGTGGGCCTGTGGGTGGGCCTGTGAGTGGGCCTGTGAGTGGGCCTGTGAGTGGGTCTGTGGGTGGGCCTGTGAGTAGGCCTGTGGGTGGGCCTGTGGGTGGGCCTGTGGGTGGGCCTGTGGGTGGGCCTGTGAGTGGGCCTGTGAGTGGGCCTGTGGGTAAGCCTGTGGGTGGGCATGTGGGTGGGCCTGTGAGTGGGCCTGTGAGTGGGCCTGTGAGTGGGCCTGTGGGTGGGCCTGTTGGTGGGCCTGTGGGTGGGCCTGTGGGTGGGCCTGTGGGTGGGCCTGTGGGTGGGCCTGTGAGTGGGTCTGTGGGTGGGCCTGTGAGTAGGCCTGTGAGTAGGCCTGTGGGTGGGCTTGTGGGTGGGCCTGTGAGTGGGCCTGTGGGTGGGCCTGTGAGTGGGCCTGTGGGTGGGCCTGTGAGTGGGCCTGTGAGTGGGCCTGTGAGTGGGTCTGTGGGTGGGCCTGTGAGTAGGCCTGTGAGTAGGCCTGTGGGTGGACCTGTGAGTGGGCCTGTGAGTGGGCCTGTGGGTCAGCCTGTGGGTGGGCCTGTGGGTGGGCCTGTTAGTGGGCCTGTGGGTTGGCCTGTGGGTGGGCCTGTGAGTGAGCCTGTGGGTTGGCCTGTGGGTGGGCCTGTGAGTGTGTCTGTGGGTGGGCCTGTGAGTAGGCCTGTGAGTGGGCCTGTGAGTGAGCCTGTGGGTGGGCCTGTGGGTGGGCCTGTGGGTGGGCCTGTGAGTGGGCCTGTGGGTGGGCCTGTGAGTGGGCCGGTGCGTAGCCTGTGGCAAGAGGGAGGGTGGGGTGGGTACTCACCGCGCGAGTCACCGTGAACACCTCCCACGTGGCCCCGTACACAGACACGAGGCGCGAGGCCACGAGGCGGCCGCTCGCGGTGTGCCCCTGGACGGGTGGTGCACCGTGCAGCGCAAACACGTTCACCTGGGGGGGAGGAGGGTGGGGAGTACAGAGTGAGAGTGTTAGTTAGTGAGTGTTACCTGGCAGTAGTGAGTGAGCGTGTTAGTTAGTGAGTGTTGCCTGGCAGTAGTGAGTGAGTGTATTAGTGAGTGAGTGTTACCTGGCAGTAGTGAGTGAGTGTACTAGTGAGTGAGTGTATTAGTGAGTGAGTGTATTAGTGAGTGAGTGTATTAGTGAGTGAGTGAGTATATTAGTGAGTGAGTGTATTAGCGAGTGAGTGTATGAGTGAGCGAGTGTATTAGTGAGTGAGTGAGTGTATGAGCGAGTGAGTGTATTAGTGAGCGAGTGTATTAGTGAGTGAGTGAGTGTATTAGTGAGCGAGTGTATTAGTTAGTGAGTGAGTGTATGAGCGAGCGAGTGTATTAGTGAGTGAGTGTATTAGTGAGTGAGTGTATTAGCGAGTGAGTGAGTATATTAGTGAGCGAGTGTATTAGTGAGTGAGTGCATTAGCGAGCGAGCGAGTATATTACTTAGTGAGCTAGTGCATTAGTGAGCGAGTGTATGAGTGAGCGAGTGTATTAGTGAGTGAGTGAGTGTATGAGCGAGCGAGTGTATTAGTGAGCGAGTGTATTAGTGAGTGAGTGTATTAGCGAGTGAGTGAGTGTATGAGCGAGCGAGTGTATTAGTGAGTGAGTGTATGAGTGAGCGAGTGTATTAGTGAGTGAGTGTATGAGCGAGCGAGTGTATTAGTGAGCGAGTGTATTAGTGAGTGAGTGTATTAGCGAGTGAGTGAGTGTATGAGCGAGCGAGTGTATTAGTGAGTGAGTGTATGAGTGAGCGAGTGTATTAGTGAGTGTATGAGTGAGCGAGTGTATTAGTGAGCGAGTGTATTAGTGAGCGAGTGCATGAGCGAGTGAGCGAGTGTATGAGTGAGCGAGTGTATTAGTGAGTGAGTGTGTGAGTGAGTGAGTATATTAGTGAGTGAGTGTATTAGCGAGTGAGTGTATGAGTGAGCGAGTGTATTAGTGAGTGAGTGAGTGTATGAGCGAGTGAGTGTATTAGTGAGCGAGTGTATTAGTGAGTGAGTGAGTGTATTAGTGAGCGAGTGTATTAGTGAGTGAGTGTATGAGTGAGCGAGTGTATTAGTTAGTGAGTGAGTGTATGAGCGAGCGAGTGTATTAGTGAGTGAGTGTATTAGTGAGTGAGTGTATTAGCGAGTGAGTGAGTGTATTAGTGAGTGAGTGTATTAGTGAGTGAGTGTATTAGTGAGTGAGTGTATTAGCGAGCGAGCGAGTATATTACTTAGTGAGCGAGTGCATTAGTGAGCGAGTGTATGAGTGAGCGAGTGTATTAGTGAGTGAGTGAGTGTATGAGCGAGTGAGTGTATTAGTGAGCGAGTGTATTAGTGAGTGAGTGTATTAGCGAGTGAGTGAGTGTATGAGCGAGCGAGTGTATTAGTGAGTGAGTGTATTAGTGAGCGAGTGTATTAGTGAGTGAGTGAGTGTATGAGCGAGTGAGTGTATTAGTGAGCGAGTGTATTAGTGAGTGAGTGTATTAGCGAGTGAGTGAGTGTATGAGCGAGCGAGTGTATTAGTGAGTGAGTGTATTAGTGAGCGAGTGTATTAGTGAGTGAGTGAGTGTATGAGCGAGCGAGTGTATTAGTGAGTGAGTGTATGAGCGAGCGAGTGTATTAGTGAGTGAGTGAGTGTATGAGCGAGCGAGTGTATTAGCGAGTGAGTGTATTAGTGAGCGAGTGTATTAGTGAGTGAGTGAGTGTATTAGCGAGCGAGTGTATTAGTGAGTGAGTGTATTAGTGAGTGAGTGTATTAGTGAGCGAGTGCATGAGCGAGTGGGTGAACGCTACCTACCTGGCAGTAGTGCTGCTGGTGTCTCCGCGACGAGTGGGAGTAGGAGCCGCCCGGTTGCTCCCCGCCGCCGCCAGGCGCCGCCGCCGCCGCCGCCGCCGCAGCCGCGGCCGCCGAGGCCGCCGCCCCACCACGCGGCTGAGCGTGACGCGTGCGGAACACGTGCAGCTCGGCAGAGAGCACGCGCTCGGCACGTGCCACCCGCCCCACGTCGAACACGAACAGCGAGCGCTCCGACTCCGCTGGCGAACGCGAAGACGGGAGCAGAGACACGCGCCCGGAGCGGGGTATGAGGGCGGGGATCACGTCAGCCGCAACTCTGCGGTCCGCCGCCGCTGGACATCGTCGTCATCGTCATCGTCGTCGTGATTGCCGGGGCGAAGTGTCCGCGGTTTTGATCTCCCCCCGACGCGCAGCCCGGCGTGCGTGCGTGCCGCGCTACCGGTGAGGAATTGGCACCACGTTTCGTTGGCGCGACGCAAACCCACTGAGTGATTGGCCGTGCTCGCGTGGTGGTGGTGGTGGTGGCGGTGGTGGTGGTGGTGGTGGCGGGTTTAACGCAGCGCTGTCAACCCCTCTTATCGGCGCCCTAGCTCCATGCACACGCACACACACTCACACCACACCACACACACCACACGTACTCACCACACTCACACCACACACTACACACACCACACACACTCACCACACGTACTCGCCACACTCACACCACACACTACACACACTCACACCACACACACACTCACACCACACACACACACCACACACACTCACCACACACACACACTCACACCACACCACACACACACACCACACGCACACACCACACACACTCACACCACACACACACCACACGCACTCACCACACACACCACACACACCACACACACCACACACACCACACACACACACACACACAACCACACACACACCACACACACCACACACACCACACACACACCACACACACCACACACACACCACACACACCACACACACCACACACCACACACACCACACACACTCACACCACACCACACACACTCACCACACGCACTCACCACACACACACCATACACACACCACACACACACTCACACCACACCACACACACACTCACACCACACGCACACACCACACGCACTCACACCACACACACACTCACACCACACACACACTCACACCACACACACACCACACTACACCACACACACACCACACACACACCACACACACACCACACACACACCACACACACACCACACACACACACACACCACACACACTCACACCACACACACTCACACCACACACACGTGGTGGTGGTGGTGGTGGGTTTAACGCAGCGCTGTCAACCCCTCTTATCGGCGCCATAGCTCCATGCAGACCAATTCAGACCTGGCCGTCGCCAATGGTAGCGCGTTGAAAGTGTCGCCATCATGAGCATCGTCGTCATCATCACCGTCGTCACCATCATCATCATCGTCACATCACCGTCATTGTCGTCATCGTCACCATCATTGTCGTCATCATCATCGTCACATCACCGTCATTGTCGTCATCATATCGTCATCATAACAGTCATCGTCGTCATCATCACCGTCATCATCGTCACATCGCCGTCATTGTCGTCATCATCACCGTCATCATCACCGTCATTGTCGTCATCTTCGTCATCATCACCGTCATCTTCGTCATCATCATCGTCATCGTAGTCATCATCATCATCGTCATCGCCAAAATAACTCTAAAATGCGTGGCATTATACACATACTACACACTACACACACATACTACATACACTACACACACACATACTACATACACTACACACACACATACTACACACTACACACATACTACATACACTATACACACATACTACATACACTATACACACACATACTACATACACTACACACACATACTACATACACTATACACACATACTACATACACTATACACACATACTACATACACTATACACATACTACATACACTACACACACATACTACACTCACTATACACACACTACATACACTATACACACACACACTACATACACTATACACACACACACTACATACACTATACACACACACGCATACTACATACACCATACACACACACGCATACTACATACACCATACACACACACATACTACATACACTACACACACATACTACATACACTACACACACACATACTACATACACTATACACATACTACATACACTATACACATACTACATACACTATACACATACTACATACACTATACACATACTACATACACTTTACACACACATACTACATACACTATACACACACATACTACATACACTATACACACATACTACATACACTACACACTATACTACATACACTACTCACACACATACTACATACACTACACACACATACTACATACACTATACACATATTACATACACTATACACATACTACATACACTTTACACACACATACTACATACACTACACACTATACTACATACACTATACACACATACTACATACACTATACACACACATACTACATACACTATACACACACATACTACATACACTATACACACACACATACTACATACACTATACACACACTACATACACTATACAGACTACATACACTATACACACACATACTACATACACTATACACACATACTACATACACTATACACACATACTACATACACTACACACACACATACTACATACACTACACACACACATACTACATACACTACACACACACATACTACATACACTACACACACACATACTACATACACTACACACACACATACTACATACACTACACACACACATACTACATACACATACTACATACACTACACACACACATACTACATACACTACACACACACATACTACATACACTACACACACACATACTACATACACTACACACACACACATACTACATACGCTACACACACATACTACATACGCTACACACACATACTACATACGCTACACACACATACTACATACGCTATACACACATACTATATACGCTACACACTATACTACATACACTACACACACTATACTACATACGCTACACACACATACTACATACACTATACACACATACTACATACGCTATACACACATACTACATACGCTATACACACACATACTACATACGCTACACACTATACTACATACACTACACACACACATACTACATACACTATACACACACACATACTACATACACTACACACACTATACTACATACGCTACACACACTATACTACATACGCTACACACACACTACATACACTATACACACATACTACATACACTATACACACTATACTACATACACTACACACACATACTACATACACTACACACACACATACTACATACACTACACACACATACTACATACACTACACACACATACTACATACACATACTACATACTACCACATACTATACACACATACTACATACACTACACACACATACCACATACACTACACACACCATACTACATACACACTACATACACACTACATACACACTACATACACTACACACACTATACTACATACACATACTACATACACTACACACACTAACTACATACACTATACACACATACTACATACACTACACACACATACTATATACACTACATACACACTACATACACATACTACATACACTACACACACTAACTACATACACTATACACACATACTACATACACTACACACACATACTATACACACATACTAACATACTACATACACACTACATACACACTACATACACTACACACACTAACTACATACACTAACTACATACACTATACACTACACACACACACTATACACACACATATACATATACATAATACATACACTACACACACACATACTACATACACACTACATACACACTACATACACTACACACACTATACTACATACACATACTACATACACTACACACACTAACTACACTATACACACATACTACATACACTACACACACACATACTATACCACACTACATACACTAACTACATACACTATACACACATACTACAAACACTACACACACACATACTACATACACTATACACACACATACACACACATACACATACTACATACACTATACACACACATACTACATACTACATACACTACACACACACACACAACCTACACACATACTACATATACTATACACTATACACACACTATACACACACTATACACACACTATACACACACTATACACACACTATACACACACTATACACACACTATACACACACTATACACACACTATACACACACTATACACACACTATACACACATCATACACACACTATACACACACTATACACACAGACACTATACACACACTATACACACTATACACACACTATACACACACCATACACACACTATACACACACTATACACACTATACTACATACACTACAAAGACAAAGACAAAGATCCCCCATATAGACTGTAGGGCAAGTGCTGTTAGCGAGCACCTATGAAGGCCGGAACGGTACACGAGGGGTGGGTGGCCACACCACGCCCGACCGCCTTTGTCTCCCTAGTGGCAATGTTTACACACCGCACCAGGTACTCATTTGAGGCTGAGTCGACCTAGGGGAGGCCTGGGACCGGTTCAGATAATCGTCACTGGTGTTGGCCGTGAGCGGGAATCGAACCCGGGTCGCCAGGTTCATAGCGCAGCGCGCTAACCGCTACACTACCGCACTACACTACACACACTATACTACATACACTACACACACACTATACTACATACACTACACACACACACATACTACATACACTACACACACATACTACATACCCTATACACACATACTACATACACTACACACACACTACATACACTACACACACATACTACATACACTATACACACTATACTACATACACTACACACATACTACACACACTACACACACATACTACATACACTATACACACACATACTACATACACTATACACACATACTACATACACTACACACTATACTACATACTATATACACTACACATACTACATACACTACACACACATACTACATACACTACACACTATACTACATACTACATACACTACACACACATACTACATACACTACACACACATACTACACTACACACACACACCACATACACTACACACTATACTACACACACATACTACATACACTACACCACTATACTACTACCCCCCCCCCCAACCATATTTCCATTTTTAAAATAAAACATGCTTCAAATCACTTGAAACTATTGTCATTGTAGTGCGTATTTAATGTGCACTCTGATGTTGTAGAGAAAACATTTTTTAAAAAGGAGGCGTCGGGAAAGCTGAAATTTAGCATAAAATTCACTTGAAATTATTCAACGTCTAACTAAAACTGCAAATGTTCAGAATATTATATTGAAATTATCTTAGAATTCTAAAATATTAAAAGTAATTATAGCTATAAAAATAAATACTTGAAACTTCGTAGTAGAACGAAGCAAAATGTAGAGTACAATTATAACAATCACATATCATTCCACAGAATGAAAAGCCCTGGTAGAATCATTAGAATCTAAATGTTTAATAAACAAGCATTTAATTTTTTTTTTTACAAAATTGATGCTTCTACATTCTCCCATGGAGAAGCAAAATGCTCCTTCGTGGAATAAATAAAAAAAATTACCTAGTAAATTTTAATAATCAAATAGTTTAGTAATAAAAAATAAAAAAATTAGTGTTGTTATAACAATGCTATTTAATTAACATTTATTTAAAGTTGCGCATTTTGATGTGACGTCACATTTCTCAAACCTCCCCCTCGTCACATCGTCACAAATGTTTGACCCCCCCTCCCCCCCGCCCCTAGGTGCGTGACGTCATTTATGGACGGCCCCATACACTATACACACACATACTACACACATGCTACACACACACGACACACACATACGTTATACACTACGTACACAAAGACAAAGATCCCCCGTGTAGCCTTAACAGACTGTCGGGGCAAGTGATGTTAGCGAGCAGTTTCAGTTTCATTTATTAGGATTTACCCTGTGAGCCATTCGGCTCTTGATTTGGGTTCAACCGCAACAAATAATACAATTACAAGATTCATCTTCTTTGGTTCTTTCGGTAAAGTCACCACGTAGAATGAGACTGAAATAATAAAATAAAACAATAAAATTCTCACGACGTTTCGGCCACAACACAAGTGGCCTTCTTCAGGTGAAAAGAACAGACCTGTCGGGACGACAGAGCTTCAATGAACGCCGCTAAGATTCGCAGCGTTCATTGTACCACCACTAACCACCCAAAAAAATTACAAGATGCACATAACATTCATTGTACACAAATCTAAACATCACATACGTATGCAATAAAATCCTACAGCAGCACCTATGAAGGCTGCCGGCACTGTGGCACACGAGGGGGTGGGTGGCCGGCACCACGCCCGGCCACCTTTGTCTTCCCAGTGCGTCAGGTACTAATTTGAGGCTGAGTTGACCTAGGGGAGGCCCAGGACCGGTGCACGTACTGACACACACACAAAGACAGACGTCCCCTAGGTAGCCTTTAGCGGACTGTCATCACTGAACATCTCTCTCTCTCCAAAGGTGTCTCACCACCACTCACCACCACCACTCACCACCATCACTCACCACCACTCACCACCACCACCACTCACCACACCACTCACCACTCACCACCACTTACCAACACCACCACTCACCACCACCACTCACCCCACCACCACCACTCACCACCACTCACCACCACTCACCACCACCACCATTACCAACACCACCACTCACCACCACCACCACCAACACTCACCACCACCACCACTCACCACCACCACTCACCACCACCACCACCACTCACCACCACCACTCACCACTCACCACCATTCCCCACCACCACTCCCCACCACCACCATTCACCACCACTCACCACCACTCACCACCACACCACCACCACCACCACCACCACCACCACCACTCACCACCACCACCACTCCACCACCACCATTCACCACCGCCACCACCACTCACCACCACCACTCACCACCACCACTCACCACCACCACCACCACCACTCACCACCACCACTCACCACCACCACTCACCACCACTCCTCACCCTCACCACCACTCACCACCACCACTCCCCACCACCACTCACCACTCACCACCACCACTCACCACCACCACCAGCCCGACTCACCCCTGGTGAGGAAGCTGCGCACGACATTCCCGGCCAGCAGGCCGGGCTCGCGGGTCACGCCGCCCTCCCCGGACACGGCCTCGTAGAGGTCCACCATGAACTGGGGCGGCCGGGCCGCCGCTGGAGCCACGCCGGAAGTGGTCGTGGGGTCCCGGCCACCTCCTCCACCTCCTCCACCGACTCCCTCCTCGGCGACCTCTCCCCGCTCGAGGCCGAACAGCTCCCGCAGTGTCCGCAGTGCCTCCGCCTTCATCTCCTCGGCGTTCCGCCTCCCATTCTCATCATCACCACCACCACCATCATCATCCTCCATCTCCTCCATCTCCACTGCCTGCTCCTCCTCCTTCGCCACGTGCGATTCGTTCAGATGTTGACGACGATGACGCTGCTGCTGCTGCTGTTGGTGATGTTGTTGGTGATGTTGCTGGTGATGTTGTTGGTGATGTTGTTGGTGATGTTGTTGGTGATGTTGTTGGTGATGTTCTGCTGCTGGAGGCTCGTCGTCGTGGCGTTGCCGAACTGTGTCGTTGATTTGGTTGAGTTGGAAGAGGTGCTGGTGGTCGAGCAGGTGGGGCTGGTTGTTGTTGTTGTTGGTGGTGGTGGTGTTGGTGGTGGCTGTTAGCGCTGCTGCTGGTGGTTGGTGGTGCTGCCTGTGGTGGTGGTGGTGGTTGTTGGTGGTGGTGTTGGTGGTGGTGTCCATAACCACCACCCCACGTGGCAGCCCGACCACGCACAGCGCGTAGCGAGGAGCGCCGCTAGCGTCGAGACGGTCGTGGTGGTGGTGGTGGCGACTCTCATGGCGAAGAGCCTTGGGACCTGCTCCTCTGTCTCTGCCTGTCTCTCTGTGTGTCTCTGTGTGTGTCTGTGTGTGTGTCTGTGTGTATATCTGTGTGTCTCTGTGTGTGTCTGTGTGTCTCTGTGTGTGTGTCTGTGTCTATAGCTGTGTGTGTGTCTCTCTGTGTGTCTGTCTGTGCGTGTCTGTATGTCTCTCTGTGTCTGTGTGTGTCTCTGTGTGTGTCTCTGTGTGTCTCTGTGTGTGTCTCTGTGTGTCTCTGTGTGTGTCTCTGTGTCTGTGTGTGTCTCTGTGTCTGTGTGTGCGTGTCTCTGTGTGTTTCTCTGTGTCTGTGTGTGCGTGTCTGTGTCTGTCTCTCTGTGTCTGTCTCTCTGTGTCTGTGCGTGGTGTCCAACTGCGTTCGTCCTGCCTGTATGACTACCCCCCTCTCTCTCTCTCTCTCACCGCTCTAAGTGCTCACCAGGTAGCTGTGCGTAGTGCGATGCCGCGTGTCCACCAGACGGATGTCGCTTGCGTTGTGCTGCAAGATGCCCTAGCTGGCACGAGAGAGTCTTCGATGGTCCGGATACAAACCTGGAACACGCCTGGGTCAGTACCAGTATTTATATGTAGAATGTGTGAATATGTGAGTGTGTGTGAGTGTGTGTGAATCAGTCTGTGTCGAGTTGGGGGACCTTGCAAGCCGCTCACGCCGTGATGCCCGCGTTTAAACTTTGGGGGTCTGAGTAGTCGTGGTTATGGTTGTTGCTAGACGTGTCCACGTTTATACCCGTGGCCTCGGTAAGCCCCTATATATACACACACACGTGTGTGAACACACACACGTGTTGTTACACCACACCACGTGTGTGTGTGTACAGTCCGCCGGCTCTGTTTGCGTGTGGGCTGAAAAGGAGCCCCAATATAATTCTCTGTAAAGACGAAAACAAATATCGGAGACTTCCTCCTCCCTAGGTCGTGTTAGCAAGACCGCCACCACCACCACCAACTACCATCACCACCACTACCACCACCACTACCACCAACAACCACCACTACCAACTACCACCACCACCACCAGTACCACCACCAACAACCACCACCACCACCACCACTACCACCACCACTACCACCACCACCACTACCACCACCACTACCACCACCACTACCACCACCATCACCACCACCAACTACCACTACCACCACCATCACACCACCACTACTACCACCACCACTACCACCACCACTACCACCACTACCACCACACCAACTACCTCACCACCACTACCACCACTACCACCACCAACAACCACCACCACCAACTACCATCACCACCACTACCACCACCACCACCACCACCAACTACCACCACCACCACTACCACCACCACTACCACCACCACTACCACCACCACCAACTACCACCACTACCAACTACCACTACCACCACTACCACCACCACTACCACCACCAACTACCACCACCAACTACCACCACCACTACCACTACCACACTACCACCACTACCACCACCACTACCGGATGAAGTTAGTGCTGGACTGTAGTCGCATTTGTTGCTATGAAGGGCCCTAAATAAAAAAAGCACGTTAATATTAAAACACAATTTTTGAACTTGCATAGTAAGTAATTGTAGTTTTTCATTTGCTATACACCAGATATTCGACAAGTCGCTAACCTAAACACCCGGTCGTTAGTAAGTTGAAGGTGGTATAGTACTATAGTAATAAGCAAGTGAAGAATCACTGAACCGGAGTTCATAGCTTGAAGCGTTTAGCGCGGGCCCTTGAAAGTGCGGGGCCCGTAGCTACTAATTTATAGTAGCTACGTGTGTAGTAGCTACTAATATACACGTGTAGTATTAGTACTACTATGTACTACCACACGTGTAGTAGCTACTACTACGTGTGTAGTAGCTACTACTACGTGTGTAGTAGCTACTACTACACGTGTAGTAGCTACTACTACACTGTAGTAGCAGCAGTTACTACACGTGCAGTAGTATAGCAGCATTCACTACACGTGTAGTAGTAGCAGCAGTCACTACACGTGTAGTAGCTACTACTACACGTGTAGTAGTAGCTACTACTACTACACGCGTAGTAGTAGTAGTAGCTGCTACTACTACACGTGTAGTAGCTACTACTACTAATACACGTGTAGTAGTAGCTGCTACTACTACACGTGTAATAGTAGCAGTTACTACTACACGTGTATAGTAACTACTAACACTACACGTGTAGTAGTAGTAGTTTGCTACTACTACTACTACACGTGTAGTAGCTACTGCTACTACTACACGTGTAATAGTAGCAGTTACTACTACACGTGTAATAGTAACTACTAACCTACACGTGTAGTAGTAGCATAGCAGCTATAACAAACTGTCGGGGCAAGTGCTGCGGACAGCACGGTCTGTGGCGAGGCTATACGGGTGACCTTTAGCTCTTGCCGCCCCGCCACCCCTGCCCCCCACACGCTGCCCATCCGCTGCCCCCTGGGGGAGCCATCAGCCCCCCGCGGGGGGGGGCGAGGCGTTGCTAATTGTCTCCAGGGTGGTCTCGCAGCTGGGGCCATTAGCGGATTAGAAGGAGCGAGTGGAGGAATCGTGTGGACATTGTTTAGTCAGCTGGTGAGGTGGGTGAGGTGGTGAGTGGTGGGTGAGTGGGTGAGGTGAGTGTTGGTGAGGTGAGTGGGTGAGTGGGTGAGTGTTGTTGAGGTGGTGAGTGGGTGAGTGGGTGAGTGAGGTGAGTGGGTGAGTGGGTGAGTGGTGGTGAGTGGGTAAGGTGAGTGGGTGAGGTGAGTGGGTGAGTGGATGAGGTGAGTGGTGAGTGGGTGAGGTGAGTGGGTGAGTTGGTGGGTGAGTGGGTGAGTGGTGAGTTGGTTAGGTGAGTCGTGAGTGGGTGAGGTGAGTGGGTGAGGTGAGTGGGTGAGGGTGAGTGGGTGAGTGGGTGGAGGGGTGAGTGGTGAGTGGGTGAGGTGAGTGGTGAGGTGAGGTGAGTGTTGGTGAGGTGAGTGGGTGAGTGTTGTTGAAGTGGTGAGGTGTGAGTGGGTGAGTGAGGTGGTGAGGTGAGGGTGAGTGGGTGAGTGGTGGTGGACGTGGGGTGAGGTGAGTGGGGTGAGTGGATGAGTGAGTGGTGAGTGGGTGAGGTGAGTGGTGAATGGGTGAGTTGGTGGGGTGAGTGGGTGAGTGGTGAGTGGGTGAGGTGAGTCGGTGAGTGGTGAGGTGAGTGGGCGAGGTGAGTGGGTGAGTGGGTGAGTGGTGGTGAGTGGGTAAGGTGAGTGGGTGAGTGAGTGGATGAGGTGAGTGGTGAGGTGAGTGGTGAGTGGGTGAGTTGGTGGGGTGAGTGGTGAGTGGTGAGTGGGTGAGGTGAGTCGGTGAGTGGGTGAGGGTGAGTGGGTGAGGTGAGTGGGTGAGGTGAGTAGTGAGTGGGTGAGCTGAGTGGGTGAGTGGGTAAGTGGTGAGTGGTGAGTGGGGTGATTGGGTGAGGTGGAGAGTGGGTGAGTGGTGAGGTAGTGAGTGGGTTGGTGAGTGGGTTGGTGAGTGGGTGAGTGGGTGAGGTGAGTGGGTGAGTTGGTGAGGTGAGTGGGTGAGGTGAGTGGGTGAGTGAGTGGGGGGTGAGTGGGTGAGTGGGTGAGGTGAGTGGGTGAGTGGGTGAGTGTTGTTGAGGTGGTGAGGTGGTGAGTGGGTGGTGAGGTGAGTGGGTGAGGTGAGTGGGTGAGTGGGTGAGTGGTGGTGAGTGGGTAAGGTGAGTGGGTGAGGTGAGTGGGTGAGTGGATCGGTGGTGGTGAGTGGGTGAGGTGAGTGGTGAGTGGGTGAGTTGGTGGGGTGAGTGGGTGAGTGGTGAGTGGGTGAGGTGAGTCGGTGAGTGGGTGAGGTGAGTGGGCGAGGTGAGTGGGTGAGTGGTGGTGAGTGGGTGAGGTGAGTGGTGAGTGGGTGAGTGGATGAGGTGAGTGGTGAGTGGGTGGAGGTGAGTGGTGAGTGGGTGAGTTGGTGGGGTGAGTGGGTGAGTGGTGAGTGGGTGAGGTGAGTCGGTGATGGATGGTGAGTGGGTGAGGTGAGTGGGTGAGTGTGAGTGGGTGAGGTGAGTGGTGAGGTGAGTGGTGAGTGGGTGAGCTGAGTGGGTGAGTGGGTAAGTGGTGAGTGGGTGAGTGAGGTGAGTGGGGTGAGTGGGTGAGGTGGTGAGTGGGTGAGGTGGTGAGGTGGTGAGTGGGTGAGTGGTTGGTGAGTTGGTGAGTGGGTGAGTGGGGTGAGTGGGTGAGGTGGTGAGTGGGTGAGTGGGTGAGGTGGTGAGTGGGTGAGTGGGTTGGTGAGTGGGTGAGTGGGTTGGTGAGTGGGTGAGTGGGCGAGGTGGGTGTTGGTGAGGTGAGGTGAGTGGGTGAGGTGAGTGGGTTAGGTGAGTGGGTGAGGTGAATGGGTGAGTGGGTGAGCTGGGTGTTGGTGAGGTGAGTGGGTGAGGTGAGT